ACTAACTTTGGATTTTGGTTTTACTCCCCACAGTAATCTGTCAGGAAATCTCCTCTTTGTCTTCAACATGGTAATCACTACCATCTCTCCATGAACTTCTGCAGCAACATATAATGAGGCTACTTTTACTGGGGTTCCTTCAAATTGTACCCCACAACAATCAGGCTAAACAAAAATTTAACCTGGCCACTGTCCCTCCTTGAAACCTTCAAGGTGTAAAATCCAGTTATTCTCCCCTCCCCAAGCCCCACCCCAACCACTTATCACCCCATTCCAGCCTTACCATCATCTTGCCTGTTATTTGGCCTTGCTGAACACTCTTGCTCCACAATCTTTACACCTGCTTCTCCCTTTGCTAAATTTTCTCCCACACATGGCATGACTTAGCTCTACTAAAATGTTCCCACTTCACCTCAGCCTTAACCTGATCACCCAACACTCTCCTCCTCATTATTTTATATTAACCCATTGTGGTAGTTACACAATGTCATGTCAAGTCGATATATAAGAATGAATGGGTAGAGTCTAGCCTGTCTCAGTCAGATCACAACCTGATGCCTCCTTATGAGCATGGCCCTTTGATGCCTCTCTTCCTCCCTGGAGGCAGGACACACTCTCCCTCTGCTTCACATTCCTGTTGTCAAGCAAAATGGAGCCACACTGAATGCAGCCCCCTGGAGATGCTTCCACCACCATTGGTGCCACGTGACTTTCCACTCACCAGCCTGTCTGAAGAGGAATGCAGGAGCTAATATCATACTTACGGACTTGATCTGGACTGGGCTGTTTATTGATGCGTAACTACTTCTTGATACAAAGTTCTCTCTTACACTCGAGTGTCTTTAGATTTGTTTCTGTAGTCAACCTGGCCTAACACACTCATAGTATCTCCCAGTGGCATTATGCTATATAATTAATTGTTAATTACCTATTCCCCTTCCAGATCTTGAAACCAGAACCTTTCTTCCGTATTCCACACCATCGTTGGCTCACAATAGCAATTCATAAAATATACATCATCAGCATGATAAAAGCCAAATGAAAACATGCACTTGAATGTGATAAGGGGCAACTCTCAATGGTGCCTTACCCGTGGTACTTGATTGAACTCTCTCTAGCACAAAGGGAGAAAGATGGAGTGGTCTACTCCAGTAAAGAGCCAGCCTTGGAAACCCACAGGGACACTTCTACCCTGTCCTAGAGTTGTTGTCAGAATCAACATGATGGCAGTGAGTTTGGAGTTTTCTGAACACAAAAAGACCTCCCCAGGCCTTCCAGTGCCCTCACCCCAAGCTCTGTGAACTCCTCTCCCCTTGCCCACTGTCCATCATACCTGACTCAACTCAGCACCTATGCCGTCACTGGCTTCCATCTGGGACACTTGTCCCAGCTATTGATCTGTTTAACTGCCCCATCTCAAATGCCACTTTCTCATGAAACCTGCTGTGACCACTTTAATAATGTCTACCACCAACCCCTCTCCAGTTCTCCCATCAGGAATCAAGCATCACAGATCCCATTATCAATTTGGCAATATTGACCCTTCTACCTTCCATACTAGACAG